TACTTTGAATAATTTGCACGCCGCACAGTGCAGTACTGGAAACAGCATTTATTAGACAGTTAGACGAAAATCAAAACAAAATGCCTGTCTCGATCAATCGCACATCCATAATGTTTGTATGTTGATACGCTTGGAAATAACATTAACGTAAAAGTCGAAACAACCTAGACTCGAAGTCAATTCACCAGTCCAGCCAACTATGGCTCCCTAAGTTGCTTATATTTAATCAAATACTATTTTGTCATCATGCTTTGTTACCTTACTTGTTTATACCTCATGAGGGCGTTTTTTGATGGCAAGATAGCGCAAACGGAAGTCCTTCGCAGGTTTATGGTTTCTAATATTTAAATCATCATAACTCTGAAGATAATCATTTTTTTAAATTTTTTTTTTCAAATTTATAATCAATGTACATAACTTAATAAATACAAACACCAAAATAGGCTCTATTTAGTTTCCCTTTAATGTACTGCCTACAAGGGAAAAAATGTTTAGCAGTATGCGACGCCCCACTGTTGTGATATGGGTTTTTGATCTGCCAGGTGATCATTAGTGTGGTGATAAGCAAGTTACACATGTGGTAATGTAATATACAACTTACGTTTTAGGGAAATACAAGGCAGCGACTTCTGGATCTAATTCATCATTGATGTCTTCTAGGTAGATACCACCTTCTATACTCTGACTATGTCTAATTTTTTTTGTCCTTCTCATAAACTGAAACATAGAACCCAGCATGGATTTATTCTGTTTGGCTTCTATTTCCTCAGGACTTTCTGTTGTTGTGGATTTGTCTCCTTCTGTTGCTTCATCTGCTTTGTCAGCTTCATTTTTTTCATTGGAATGTTGTTTTGTCAGTTTCACATGCTGTAAGTAAACCATGAAAAGGATTCTGAAGTATGGATCAAAATTGAGAAGAATAATTTAACAAAACTACTCTCTCAGAGTACGAAAGTGCAAATTCTATTAAGTAGTGCTGAAGTGATCTTTCTGCAGCTCTACACAAACAAAATACTCAGCAGGGTTGATTTACCTCTGGCAGTTCTCCCCAGTTCCATTTGACTTCATCTTCTTGGTGAAGACTGGAATCAAGACGATGTAGTTCTGCTTCTGTGTCACTTTTAGGTGTGCCTGGTCTCGGACTCATTATAGGGCTACAGATACAATGAAAGTCAATTTGTTAAAAAAGATTACACACAGCATGGAGTTTACAATGTATAATATCACTCACACCCCAGACATTTCGATTTAGGGCGAATGATCACTTTCGCAAAATTTCACCAAGAGAAGCTGAAAAAACTTTCCTCAGTACTTTTAGAAGAGCCATATTTTGCTTTCCAGCCATTTTCAAAAGGTAAGACCTGACAGCTCAATGTATTTTATTTGTATAGTGCCTGGTGTCACTGAACTTCCAAGCAACTAGGAATGGAATGTACAGTATTTTCTGGAGATCCTCAGTGCAGCAGTAAACATCAATATTTTTATAGAAAAGGGGATGGCTAATGTGCCATCAAGAATATTAGTTGATGGCGACTTAGCCTACATAAAGGAAAACCTACTTATATGGCAGTGTATCTTCCTCAAAATAGGTGTTTTAATTGAAAGTGGGCCATCCATCCTGAAGCAGATTAGAATATTCTTACCTCATATGTGGTGTAATATCACCATCTGAGAATGGATGAAAATCTGGAATGTACGGATGGTATGATGCTAATTGCTTTAATTTGTCCTCCTCATCAGAGTGTATGGTTTCACCAAGTTCTACTACATTTGTACTTTGCATTGACGTCAATGGTTTCATTTTTATAGCGTCCTCTTCTTCGTCTGATGTGATTTCAAGATCAAATATGTCTTCCTCTGATAGCTCACTTCTACCTGTAATATCCGACACACTGGACTGACTATCACATCGTTCAAAAGGTATGGGTCGATTTTCCTTTCCTTTCCCACTCTTTCTTCTCTTCCTTCTTACTTTGGTTTTCTTACTGCTTTTAGTCTCATCTTCGATGAAGATAGTATTTTCTTCAGTTTTATGTGATGAAGGCTTACATGCTATACTATTTTCTATCTCCGATAAGTTTGACACACTACCCCTAGTGCTGATATCCACATGTGAAGTTCTTGTTGTGCCATCCCCAGTGTCGATAGTCATTTCAACAATATTAGTGGGTTCCTCTTTATTATTTTCTAAGGTTTCTGATGGTTCTTTTAATGCTTCCACAACTTCAGTGATGTCTAGTGTTTGTTCACTGTCCGAAGCACTTTGTTTTTCAGCTTCTTCTTTGAGTTTTTTCAAGCCAGCTTCCATAAGATCGGCATATGATTGAATGGGAGAAGTGGCCAAATATTCAGGAACCTGTCAATGCAGAAATAAATCAACAATAATAATAGTAATCCATGCAATTGAACTTTCACTACTTAAAGTTGTATTTTAATAGTAGTATGGTTTAGCATTATACACAATGAAACCTGGAGCAGATGCTTTTCATAATAAGTTTTATCAAAACTGAAAATAAGTTATATTGTTCATGAAAGCCTGAGAGTTAATAAGTAATAATTACCTCGCCAATCGTTGGCTCCACAAAGAAAGCTTCACCATTTTCTCCTAACTTCATATGTAACTTAACAGGCTGTCCATTTATTTCTATGTCAACCTAGAGAAATAAAAACAGATTTTATTACCGTACTCGACCGCGTTAGCGCCCATGCCCGGGCAAGCGCCCACCCCCCACTTTTGCGCAATTTTTATATTTGGGGTCACATTCGGCAAAGCGCCCACCCCTTCAAAATGCAACTAATTTAAAACTTGGCCTTGCGTAACGAATCTTGGTAATCGTTTTTTATATGATACAGCGTGGATATCGACCGTTGTGAATATGTTGTGAATGCGTAGAACACGGTAACCGTGCGTAAACTACGCTTCGACATGACATGTTAATACAAGTAAAATGCGGTAAATATTTCATGCCATATACAGTTTACCTCTCAAAATGGCTAGTTACTAGTTTTTGGAAA